TCACATCAAGCCATTTTGGACCACCCAAGCCTATGTGGATAGTTGTGACAACTGTTCACGGTGTATGGTTGGCCTTAACCTAAGTTGCTTGCTGCTGGTGGCCGGTGGCCTACTCCGGAGGTTAGGCCAACTCCAACGCGCGAGCCCGAACGGACGTCTGCTTTGTCCGGATTTCGTTCGTTTGGGTGTGGCAATGGGGTCATGTCCGTCCGGATTCGTGGATGCGTCGGCCGTGCGCCCAACGCGCGGCCGCATTTTGGCCGTATCTTGTTCACGTGCATGCAAAAGTGAGAAACAAAGGATTTAAAGCCGCGACCGCGGTTCGCACTAGTTCGCCCCAGCCGGCAACACAGCCGACGGCCTACAATCGATGCCGGTAACAAAGCCAACGTCCGGCACAGGAGCCAGCCTTCAAAAAGACATGTTTCACACCGGCAATAAAGCCAGCGGCCGGCACATCCAGTCTACAGAATGGACAAGTTTTGCCGCCGGCAACAAAGCCAGCGGCCATCACACTAGCCAGCCTTCAAAAGAGACAAGTTTTCTCACCGGCAACAAAGCCAGCGGTCGACACAGGTGCCATCCTTCAAAAAGGACCACCATTGCGGCCGTCGTCTCACCTAGATCATGTCGTCACGGGCGAACATCTCATTAGCCGGTTCGTGAACCAAGCCTTCCTCTCTGGTGACATGTTGTTCTTGTCGACGATCATGATCGCTAGTGCCACCTCCTTGGCTTGTGTGTCGGCATTGGTGGCCTCGATCTCTAGCTTCTTGAGTTGAGTGGCCTTCTCGATGTCAAGCTTCCTCTTCTCCACGACCTCCTCCATGTCAAACTTCTTCATTTGAAGATCTAGGTATATCTTCATTTGCTCCTCCCTCCCTTTGCTCTTCCTCTCCTCTCGCATTTCCTTTTGGCTCATCATATCCTCCAAAGTTCCTTGCAAGGCTATAGAAGACGCATCATGCTTCTCGTCGGACTTCGAGCTTGTCTTGCCCCTCGGCCTCTTGAGCACGTCTCCCGCATCAGCCTCGATCGCTGCCTCCTTCTCTCCTCTCTTCTTCCAACGGGCATTGTATTGGTCCTTGAACTTGGGGCAATCTTTGCTGAGCACCCAACAATGCGTGAGAGTGAATGGCTTGTCTTTGTGCCGGGCCTTGAAGGCTTCCAAAGATTGGAATGCCTACACAATCAAACATGCGACCACAATTGTAACATGAAAGGTCATATAATGCATGAAACTTAAATGGCATGCCAACATGAATGGACGCATGATGGAAAAGAGAGGGGTTCATATCAAGTCACCAAGGCCTAGGCCGCTCACGGGACGGGCTTTGACGCTCTCAAGCGCGACACAATATTTGTTGCATTCTTGTTGGATGAATCCCCAACTTTTTTGGATTGAACTGATACCACGAGTGCTTGTGAATTGGTAGGGGGCAAAATTTATTTGCTAATGAAAGTTCTTGTGAACCCTTGTCCAAAAGACAACTCCTTTTTGCTCGGCACCTTTGATTGGATCTTTGTCGATTTCCTTCCAACTCTCGCATATCAAAGTGTCCTCGACTTGGCTATATGATCCCGTGCGAATGCTCTTCCTCCTCTTTTGTGCTTCAGACTTTTGGGTGAGCTCGTCGATGAAACACAATGGCTCCACGGAAATGTCCACCTCATCTTCAAATTACAAGTCATCATATTCCTGCCACGAATTGCCATGGTCGTCCTCATCAGCATCATCATGGCCGCTGTCGGTGTCAAAACCGGCGGATCTTGGG